GCACCTTATCTGTCCTTCCATTCTAAATGAAAGTTTTGCTGGATAGAGCAATCTTGGTTGTAGGTCTTCGGTTTTCATGACTTGGAATACCTCTTTCCAGCCCCTTCTTGCCTGTAAGGTCTCTTTTGAGAAATCCGCTGACAGTCTGATGGGGACTCCTTTGTAGGTGACTGTCCCCTTAGCTCTTGCTGCTTCTAGGATTCTCTCCTTCATTTTAATCTTAGCTAATGTAATTATGATGTGCCTTGGTGTGTTCCTTCTTGGGTCCAACTTCTTTGGGACTCTCTGAGCTTCCTGGATTTCCTGGAACTCTATTTCCTTTGCCAGATTGGGGAAATTCTCCTTTATTATTTGTTCAAATAAGTTTTCCACTGGTGGCTGTGCCTTTCCCCCTTCTGGTACCCCTATAATTCGGATGTTGGAGCGTTTAAAGATGTCCTGGAGGTTCCTAAGCCTCTCCTCATTTCTTTGAATTCTTGCTTCTTGACTCTTTTCTGTTTGGCCATTATTTGCTTTCTTCTGGTCCACTCCATTGATTTGAGTCCCAGTTTTCTTTTCATCGCTATTGGTTTCCTGTGCAATTCCGTTCATTTCAATTAGTTTTGCCTTCATATGTTTCTCTAATTTGTGGCTATAATCAACCAGTTCTGTGAGGATCCTGATGACCAGTGTTTTAAACTGTGCGTCTGAGAGTTTTGCTATTTCTTCATCGCTTAGGTCTATGGGCTCAGAGATTTTGAGAATTTGCAACATTTTTGGTCTCTTCTGGCCCTTTAAGTGTGAGAAGAGGCGCCTTGGACTCCCAGGTCGCTGGGTTGTGACGCTGTATGTGGGGGTGTGGTCAGAGCGGGGAAATGGCGGCGCCCTCTGCTGCCGCTTGCTGCGGGGACACCGGGCCCCGTCGAACCGCCCACTCCCTCGCCTGTCCGCTCGCGCACAAATAGGCGAACCCAGTCAACACGCAGCACCGCTTCCCCGCTGTCTCCTCCGCGGTCGCTCGCCTGGTCACTCGCTGGGTCGCTCACTAGGTCCAACCCTGCGCCTGGATTCCGCTTCTGGATTCCGCGCCTGAGCCCGTCTGACCGAGTCCTCCTGTGCAATCCCGCTCCACCAGCCACTGGTTTCGCCCCTTACCGGTCAGGCTGCAGAATTTGTTGTTAACGGACTTCCGAAAAGTTTAATTTTCCGTGTTCTGGCTGTGTTTTGTGTTGCTAATATTTAGTTGTCCCTAAACTTGGTTGTGTGAGAAGGCACGGCACATCCACCTATACCTCCATCTTGGCGGAAGTCTGGAGTATGCTTTTAGACAAAATGGTCTAGAATTGTTTTTCCTCCAACCTGTTCTCAACCAGACTGTTTTCTATCAGATCGCTTTTGTTTTTGACCAAATCATCTGGATTATGCTAAAGCCTAGGCATTTTCCGGGGCCCTCATGGTTGTGCTTCCCCATAGCCCTGATGGTGATAAAGTCCTTAGTTTGCAATAAAAGCCTCTCTGTTTGTTCTACCGTCTTCTCTTGGTGCATGTGACATTGGAGATAGTGTTCTACCTCTGCTCTAAGCCTGAAGTGTGTCTCTGCCTCTTACCCACTCGTCTGTGAACCCGCCCACAGACGTGTATCACTGAACCTGCACTCTGTGCCAGGTGCTGTTGCGGGTGCTAGGATAGCCGCGGGGGTGAGTTCAGCCTCTGCTCTGGCAGAGCCCTGTTTTTAAGTCAGACAAAATTATAATATGTCATGTGGTAATAAGAAGAAATGAATCAGGGCAAGGGGCTAGCTGGTAGAAAGTGATGAGGGGTGTGCAATGTTATGGACTTGTGGGCACCTCATGGACAAGGTGACATTTGCACAGACACCTGAGCGAAGCGCCATAACTGGCCATAAAGGTGTCAGGGGAAGGCATTCCAGGTGGAAGGAGTAGCAAGTGCAAAGGCCCTGGGTGTTCTGGGAACGGCCACAGGTGGGGGAGGGTAGGGCGGAGGGAAGGTGTGAGGGGGAGGGTGATGGGACACTGAGTCAGAGAGTAGGGCCCAGTCAGGTGGAGACTTGCCATTGAAGAGACTCAGATGTGCTGTTGAGCAGGCTGGAGCTCCACAGGAGGGTTTTGTGTCATGGAAGGCTTCGATTTGATGTCTGTTTTAAAAGGACCTTGTGGGGCTTGGGAGAGCCTGGGGGTGGGGTGGGGGAACAGAGCCAGGGAGGAAGCCAAGAGACAAGCTTGGGTTTTGCTGAGGCCTGGGGTTGCCCTGAGCTCATTTGGTGGCCCCTCTTTCACTCTGGGCTGCTCTCTGGCCTATAGAAGTGACACAGGAGGGCTTCCCTCTGCAGTGGTCCCTTCACTGTGGAGACTCAGCATTGAGCCCTTTCTCTCTTTGACATGCTGGCTGCAAACAGGGCTTCCCTCAGTCCATTCATGGCCAAGTTCAGGAGGCTGTTCTTATCTCTGTCTAAGATGCCCCCTCACTTCTGCCTGCTGATCACATTTTGGGGTCCTGATTCTGTCAGGCTACTTGAGTACCACCTTGCTATCTTGGGGTCACCCTGGATGTGGGGAATGTGTCATCCACACCTGATTCCAAATTACTGTATTCACGTCAAATGGTATTGACGTCAAATGGTATTCATGTCAACCCCAACAGGGTTGGGGACAGTGTTCCATTCATGATACTGGACATTTTCTTGCAGGTTGACCTGCATCCAGTAATTTAATTTTGGTGAGGCCACAAGTAATTTGTTAATAAAATGCTGAAATTTTAAAGTTATTTTCTTTTTAAAAACATGCAACAGGGTAGATTCCAAGCTCGTTGTGTAAAACGTCATTCTCATTCGTTTGCAATCCAGTGCACTTTCTTGAGTTGGGGAAAGAGGGTGCTGTTCCTTCCCCTCTGACAGGCGACTCAGACCCAGGTCGGTTCTGCCACTGTCTGCAGCCTCTGTGGAAACCCCAGAGAGCCCTGGTTCTTGGAGACGGTGGAGTCGGGATTACCTGCAGCCTTGAGGCAGCTCCCTTTTATTCTTTGGCAGATTTGTGTCCAGTACTTAACCCCCCCCCCCACAATCCCACACTTACCTTTCCTCTCCATACTCTCAACTTCAATATACTCAGTCTTGCTTAGTCAGTCTCACTTTCCTCTGCTTGCAAAAGAATAGGCCAGAGGGGTTTCTTATTATACACAGGCAACGCTCTTATACAACCTTGTCTTCCTCGTTCTCTAAAATGTGGGTTTGAAATGATTTCCAAAATTACATCTATTAAAATAGAAAAAAATAAAATAAAAAGCAAGGTCAGAGAAAAGACTAAGGGGAATTTAGGACACAAATATACAAATCACAGGGTTGCATGTAATTACTGAAGGTGAGGTATGAATTTGGCTCTGAGCTTCCCGGCAGCCAAAGCAAGAAGAGAAAAATGATCCATTTAATGATTCACTGTTTCCCTGAGGAAACACACCCACTCTTCAGGGAAAGCCGTAGGATTTCTGGACTGAGTTCTGAAAAGTTGTTTTTCCCAACATTAAAGGATCTCAGTGTGATGAAGAGCAAGCAGTGCCCCTCACATGCACTCCCTCCCCCACACACACCTCCCTGCCATGGGTCCTGTCCTGCTGTCTGTTTCCGCTGATGCCTCTTTTGGGCACAGTGTCGTTCCATGCCCCATGCTGGTCTGCACTTGACTGGCTGCTGCTTTGACCAAAGCTTTGAACTGCAAAGGTGCAGAGATTTGTCACAACTTCTGCAGTTACCCAGAGTTTATACTGAAAGTGTGGTGTCTTCGTTGATTGTCTGGCTAGAGCTCTAGCTACTACTGTTTCCTTTTTGTTGGAAAGATACATGGAAATGCTAGGACTTTGGGCATCTCCCACATTTCTGATGAAATTCTTGCAAAAGGTAGGCATTTAAGCAAGGGCCTCTCTCTCCTAGCCACCCCAGCACTGCCTGGTTGCTCTTTGAGAGTCTCTGAGCTTCCCTGGAGGGGTTTTAGGGTCTGACTTTCTCAACAGCACCTAGATGAGGCACCACCTGAAAAATGCCCCCTTCCCCACTGTTGGCCACATTCTGTCCCTGAGTCACCCTCTTCTCTGCTCCCCCTTTCAGTTTAACCACTTCCTGCCCACTGTTGTCTAAATAGCACAGTCAGAATGACATGTTTGAACACTCCCCTACCATCTAATGTCATTTTCCCCGGGCTGATTACTTTGCTGAGTGTCAGAATTTGGTCTTACAGTACTCCAACCTTTCTCCTCCTCAGTAAAATCATCGTCATCGCTCATAAGTGTTAACTTCCTGAACATCAGGCACTGGGCCGGACTCTTTTTAATCCCTTATCTCAATCCTCGCAAAGTCCTGGGAAGTAAGTACAGTTAGTTCTCTCTATGCACAGGTTTTACATCTGTGAATTTAATCAACCAATATAAAAATATTCTTAAAAAAACCCCCAGCAAGTTCTAAAAAGCAAAACTTGAATTTGCCAATTGCTGAGCCCTACACTGAATCCCTGTGGATGCAGCAATGTGCGGGGACCCCCTGTGACAGCCGTTGTGCCAGTGTAGGTTATGTACACATACTGTGCCATTTTATATAAGGGGCTTAAACATCCTTGGATTTTGGTATCCGAGAGGGAGAGTGCCCTGGAACCAATTCCCCTTGGATCCTGAGGGATGACTGTATTATCCTCACTTTACAGACAAGTCATCCAGAGAGTAAAGGATGGAGTTGGCATTGGGTCTTGGATCCATCTGACTAGAGAGTCTGTGTGATTGACCATCACCCAGAACCCCCTTCCCACAGAGCTAAAGGGCATGGCATCTAAGGCACCCCATCCCCCCAGAGTCCCTCATTCCACCTGGCCAACTCACTTATCTTCATTGGTCATAGTTGTTAGCTCCAGTGCTTTATGATAATAGCATCTTCCTTGGGGGGGGGGGGGATGGAATATCAGCAAGGCAAAGCAAGGGTTTGTCAGACATTCTGTTTTTAACGAAATTAACTTTCTTAGCAGATGACCGTTGGGTCTCCCATCCCCACTGGACACTCTGCAGGACTGGGGACAGCTCCAAGATGTTACCCAGCCTGGCCATCTGGGTGGCCAACACGATTGGTGAGCTGGTGTGTTTCTCCCTTTCCTCTCTCCCATAGGCCCTTTCAGGCGCATGGATTCCTTAAAGGTAGGCATATTCTGACCCAGAGATTTCTATCTTGACTCATTACATACCTCCGCTCCCAGGTGTGGCCAAGGGCATCCTATAAAAGTCTCCTCCCTTTTCTTCCAGGGCCTCAGTGAACCCCTTAAGCCCCTAGTCCCCCAGCTGTGTCTTGTCCTTGGTGCTAAACCCTTTGCTTCTGTGCTAGCTCTTGCCTCAGTTGCCCCACTAAGTCCTGAGCCTGCCTTCATGCACATCAAGGAAAGTCCCCAGAAGCTCCAGCCTGGCAGAGTCTGCCCATCTGTCTGCTGAAAGGAGGTCAGGCACTGTCTCCCACTGTGCAGCTTTTTTCCCTCTGGGCATGTGTTCACCTCTAGTCAGCAGTCAGCAGCCCCATTCGCCTTGACTGCTCTCCTCCAGGAAGCTTCCACATAAGACAGAGTGCATGGAGATCTTGCCACCCAATTAGTGCCAAGCCCTGAACAATGCTTCTTGTGGAGCCCAGCCTGTGGGGTCCTCAGTCATTGGGAGCCAAATGTCCCTACTTGAGGGGGAGGCCTACAAAAGCAATGGGAATAAGGAGCTACTATCCTAGAGATTCTTGGCAGAGAGACTTGGTGTATTCCTCCTCATCTAGGTCATATTTAGGGGACTCCAAGGCCTAGATGGAAGTTGTGCTTAGTAAATACTGGTTGAATAAGTAAAGTGATGTCACAGGGTCCACAACCCAAAAGATGTGGTGTAGAAAGAGTGTCTTCAGTCCTTGAACAGGATGTCTTCCTCCAGGAGCATGCTGGGTGATTGCTATAAGACCCCCAGGAGGTTCAAGTCCGGATTACCCCTCACAATAGACAGGGAAGTTAGGATAGAGGGAAGTGTGATGACTTAGCAGTGACAGTCTGCAGTTACCCCATGCATTCCCAATTTCTGCCCCATTAACTGAAATCTAAGGCACCTCTACAGAAAATGAGCCATTGCATTCAAAGACTTAAAAAAGAAAGTTGCTCTACATGTAATATTAATTACAGTTAGACACGGTCTTGCAAAAATGGAGGAAAAGGAGTGAGGCTCTGGAGTCAGCTCGCTCGCTCTGTGGACTTCAAGTAAAATGCCTCCCCTCTCTCTGCCTGCTTCATCTGTGGCCTGGGGATCATGATGGCACTCCCCTCCCCTCAAGGCTGATGGCGAGGAGGCACCTAGCAGAGCACCAAGTGCCTAGTGAGCACTCAGTACATGAGAATTGACCATTATTGTGACATGGACACATATACCACAATGAAGGACACTTCATTACTGTGGACAAACCAAGTCAGGAAAACTTGGAACAAGATTTGTCAACTTGTGGGAGGCTATCTTTTGTGAGAGCTGGCATCTTAATTATCTGTGGTTCAAAGCTTCCTCTACTCAGCCCTAGTAAATGGGGATCCTGACACCATGGTAGAACTTTCTTTGATGTTGCTGACAATTCGGTCTTTGTTGGGTTTGGTTTGGAGCCTATACAGAAGTGGGACCTAGAATTATATCCTAGACAGGTCAGCACATGGCCTGTGCTTTTTGGAGAAAGTGGAAGAGCTAGGCCAACTTTCCCCAAGTAGAAGTACCAGAAAGATCCTTTTTCACAAGACCCACAGGCTGCATGCCACATAGGTAACTTGGAGGGTGCCATAAAATCTTTTTAAAAATTTTAGCAGTTTTTAGAATAAGTTGTTGCTGGTCAAGAAGGAGAAGACACATTTTTTTCTTCCTTTTGACTCTAAGCAAGTGCTCTCTTGGGGGAGCAAGAGGAGTCAGGTCAGGGTGGTACACTCAGCTCAGGGAACTTGCCAGGCAGAGGACAGGAGCTGCAATGACCTCCACTGAGCTCCTGTGTCAGTTACACTGGGAAGACAGCTCCAGAGGGCAGGGTTTTATGTTTTGTTCATTGGTTTGTCTTCAGCTGTATGACCAAGCCTGGTACAGAGCAGGTGTTCAACCCCTGCTCTGTTAAATGAATTAATAAATTTAAATTAACTCAAGGGGTTACTATGTAAAAGAACTAACCTGAACTGGGTGCTTTTCCTTCTCTTGATGAATTGGGCAATACATGAGGTCTTTCACAGTATACAGTCCTCTCCACACAGGTCCCCTTGCCCACTACACGCTCCCAGCCACCAGACCACCCCCAAGCCCCAAGGAGCTATTCCCTTCCCCAAACACCTGCCTCATTGCACTAACTGTCTTCTTTCTCTGCAAGTCTCCTATCCTAGCAAATACCTCTTTCTCTGGGGCCCGACTCAAATGCCACCACCTATGTGATTTCTCATAGCATGTCCCTATACAACTTTATTCTGCAACTAACTATATTGGTGTCATCTTTCTCATTAGACCGTGGGCTGTTGGAAAGAAAAGGAAATCCTGTTTGTCTTGCAGCCCCAGCATGCTGCCTGCATCAGAGGGGTCACAACGAAGGAGCCAAGAGTGAGTGCAAGAGCAGGGGACACTGATGGTAAGTGGAGTGGCTGGTACTGTTACTAGTTCTGATCAAGAAATAGGCACAACCAAAGCATAGATGGTAGGTAGAAAATAGATAGGGGGGAGGGCAAGAATAGTAGGGGAAATATAGAATCTAAAGAACTTGAGACACGTGGTCATAAACTAAAGGGGGGAATGGTGGGGGAGGGGTGTGCAGGGTGGAGGGGAATGAAGGGGGGGAATAGGACAACTGTAATGGCGTAATCAATAAAATTAAATTAAAAAAGAGAAATAGGTACAACCGAAGTCATACAGCTGAAATTTTTATCACAGGATCCAAGTGCTAAAAACTTTTGACCATTGAATCTTCCATGAAATTGAAAGAAAAAAGGAATCTAATTAATTCAGTTTTGTAAGTAAAAAGCATGAGAGGTTAAACTGGGGTATAAAACATCAGAAGGACCAAGATTTCTTTAATAATGAAATAATTTATTATTTGTTAACAGTTGAACAATACAGAGGTTTACATATACACAGCAAAGATTCTCTAAAACACATATCGTTCTAAAAATGCATGTGCTAACTGTAGTAAAAAGCACCATTCTCTATGTCTTGACACAGGATTTACATTGGCGTATTTACATAAAGAAACATCTGGAAAACAGAACTGCATACTCTCATCTGCTGCTCTCTGTTTAGGCTGTGTTTACCACTAGGAAGATGGCCCCCAACGCTGGTGGTTAACAGCAACATTCCCAGAGCACCAATTCTAGAGACGGGGTAAAGGCAAGTTTGGTTCTCAGGTAAAGTGAAGAACACCCCCTTAACCCCCTAACCCCCCTAGAGAGAATAGGAAATCAAAATTAAAAATCTGGATAAATGTTAGAATTGGGTGTCTTATTGATTCTCATTTTATGATTTTTGAGAGGAGACAAAGATACTCCATTTCTTCAGTCATTCAATAGCTGACTGGTAGTGACAGGCAATTATTTCTCCTTTCAGAAGAATATAAGAGGATCCCCCATGTAATATTAATGAAAAAAAAACATGATAAATCACATATTATACCCCTTCCCCCAACTCCCAGGTATCTTCAAAAACAAAGAGATCTGATCATGTAGAATAAATACCACCTCATCTAAAAGGGCCTTTGGGTTGTCTTCTCTCAGAAAAGATTTTGAAAATCATGAATAGCCAGCTACCTAAACATACTGCATCTAAGAGTTAGACATAGAAAAATATGTAGATCACCATGCAGAAAATTGCCTTGTAGCCTTTGACTTCCTAGTGCTCAACACACAGGGCAGGTAAAGGGGAAGACAAAGAAACTTGGCAAAACAAGTAAAGACCAAGATTTGGGGGAACAGATATAAAGCACAATCAATGAAAGTGATATTCTTACCAGTACAGTATGGTATAAAAACCCAAATAATAGTATGTTGTATATACTTTGCAAAAATAAGTTTTCTCTCTAAAGGATGAAGAAAGGCAAGAAGAAAAAAGACCAAAATCCATTAGCAAGCCCCAAGGTATTGCTAGACAGTCATTTTGAACATCACAGTCCAACCCAATTTATACTTTGTTTTCCCCACCCCCTAGGATTTGCTCTCGGCCACTTCAGGGATGAAGTAGAGAGGCCCACTGGGAGCCTAGGTAAGGTCCTTTTGTTTCTTTTGAAAAAAAGTAGACGTTAAAGGAAAAATGCCCATCTTAAAAAAACCAAAACCACTCAAGTGGCCAATTGCAGGGTCAGGGCCTACTTAGTGCTCAATTCTAAATGGACACAAATTATTTTAGTCTTGGGTTGACAGGGAGAAGAATCTAGGTTTTGCTAAAACAAAATTTGATGCTTTTTGAATTGCTTCCTAGCATTAGGTCTGTGACTAGAGAAAGGTGCCAGCAGTTGCTGTCAGCACCTTGAAAAATTCAAGATCTCTGCTTAGCAATAGAAAACTCAAACAAAAATGCCTTGGGTGCTCGGCCCACCATTCTAAGCCACCAGGCATGGACAGTTATGTTTTCTGGGATGTTAATAGAAGCACACATATATATTTTCTCACTGCATAAAATTAAATTGGACTACATAACGCTTATTTTCCCATTTGCATTGCAATGGTATCAGTAAGAATGTAGTTTAGATTTCTTTGTTTAAAATCAATTTTCACATAAAAATATGCACGTGCTTATATTTATATCTATTACATACAATTGTCAAAATCTTAAAGGCTGGGGTTTATATCTTTGCCCATCCCCTCCCCCCAACAACCCTAATAGAAAGGTTTTTCAGTTTGCTGGAAAACCCAAAACAACCAAAAAGACTGTATAGCTCTTAACAGTCAAGCTGGTGGATCAGTGAATGGGAGGACAGATTGGTGAATCAAGGCTGTCCATCAGCCATGGAGGGAAGGGGATTAGCTGCCTTGGGCTGAGTTTGCTGGTCCTGAAGGCTACAGTTTTGGTCAGAGAGAGTGGCCCGTCTGGCATGCTGAAGCAGTTTACCCCGAGTTTTGAAAGTAATGTCTAACCCTAGTGTCAGTCTATCACAAGTGCATTAAAAATATAGCGATCTATCAAGTTCCACATTGCTATGCAGTCAAATTGAAAAGGACCAGACAAACAGTGCAAAGGTCAAATAATTACTGTTTTATATTGGGACAGTACATTTCATATTTTAACCAAAAGACAAAAATGCAGTTTAACTCAAAGGCACAACAATTAAAACACAGAAAATAATGGCATATCTCAGATGCCTTATTTCTAAATTAAACAAGTACACAAATTTTTTTCCCTTCCCTCCCCCATTGCAAGCCCACAAGCTTTTCCCGAAGTCTTGAGTTTTTGATGCCATCCAGCATCATTATTGTGGACTTGTGAGGCGCTTGAACATAGCAATTAAACAAAATGCTTGAGAGGTCTGGTGAATGGCATTCGAAAGGGACCTCAAAGTGCAGATACATCTTTTTCAAACATACTACAGGCTGAGCTGGCTCTTTGAACACTATCATTCTGCTTAAATTCAGGAAGCAGGCTTTAAAAATGCAAAGGCATACAAGTTGTATTTCAGTGCAAATCTTCAGCTGGTAATTGGAAAAGGTTCCAACAGTGAAAAAAAATCCTTCGTGTCTCCTGCCCCCCCCCCCCCCCCGCAAAGCCCAAATGAAAGAAAAAACAGAACAAAACCAGAAGAGTACACATAACTTTGGGATCATTTAGCAATCCACTACTTCCAATTTAAATTCTTTAAATATATTGAATTTTTTAAAAGAAAACACAAAAGTAATCTTGCTTTGTTTACATTGCTCTTCACATCTAGAATGAGCTTCTGTATAGAGTGTGTTTGAACGTTCAGTTGTGTGGAAGGTGGAGGTGATGGAGGAAGTGTGAGGCTGTGGCATGCTAGAGACCGCAGGCCAGCGGGGGCACAGGGTGGCCACCCGTTACCGGTTCAGCCCTTGAGCCCTTAGGTTGCAGTGCATCTGTGGATTTTAGGAATGTTCTCATCACTTTGTGACATACACTCTGTTTCAGCATCACAGATTTTTACAAATGGTTTAAATTCAATGAAAAAGATTAGCCAGAGGCTGAAAACATCAAGACCTCAAAAATATGAATGCAAAAATAAGGGGAATGAACCAATTTGGTAGATACCTACATACAAAGTTTCTAGAACATCTATAAAAGCACAAAGTCATAAGAATTTATTTTCCATTACATTAGTTTATATAAAATGAATAAATAGTATTTATAGATTTAATGTGTCTTATGTACATATACATGTGCTCTATTTAGCTTAAATAAAAATGCTACAAAGTGGGAGACCACTTAAGGGAGAAATCATAACCAAAAAGAAAAATCAGCCTTTTAAACTGTCAACCCAAAAACCTCCATAAAGAAGTTTCTGGGTGCATCCAAAAATAATGAGAGGAATTCTAGTAACACTGTACTAGCCCCTCCTGTTCACCTGCAACACAGTAGAAATGTGGACTTTTCCTTTCACTGATGATGGCTACTAGCTCAACTAGTGCCAAAGCTCAGTTATTGCTGAAAGTTAAATAGGAAAATAGATTAGAATTGGACCCAGGGGGGAAAAAGAGGCATAATCACTGTGTTAAGTGGGAAATGGAGATCTCCTTTATCTCTGAGGTAGGAAAAAAAAATGTTCCAGAGACAAGTAGCATAACAAACTTTGAGAAGAAATGAGCCTTGGGGATAGCAGTACACAGCATGGTCCCAAAAGCATCGCACAAAAATAGATTGTACCATTTTGTTTGTGGGAACAAACAATATTGGAACTTTTATAAGCTGTGCAACCCCAAAGCCATGCTCTCCATCCAGGTGTCCATTTTAGAGTGAGAAATACTGCTCCCATCCACACTCGAGTCTGGGGAATGAGCACAGGGGTGTGTGAAGGGTGTTTGCTGGAGGTATTCCTAACTCCTCACTCCAGTGAGGTCCATGGTTAAGTGCTCTTAAATGCCCCTTTCAAAGCTTACTTTGGAGTGCTGAGATGAGGATCTCAACTTTAGAAGCTTGTTTCCTTCAGCTTCCTAAGCACAAGACACATTCGTACATTTCTGCTAGGCAAATAACATAGTAAGCCAGAACACTTTTAAAAGGTCTGGTAGGCTACATGGGGACAGTAAACAAGGGAGAAATTGCTGAGATGTGAAAGTTGCTTATTCGCTCTAAGAATTTTGGGGTGCTTCAAATTGATTGGAATGTACAGTCTCTCAGAGACGAATTTTATGGAGAGAAAGAAGCTAGTGGATGAAATCAGAAACCCACAATCCTAAGCACTTCCTTGAAAATGTTTACAAAACTGATTTTGGTAAGGGTAGTACACTGAAATTTACGTGCAAGGGGATTGTGGGCTGGTCCAATACACTACCTAATCAGATCCGACAAGGAGAACCATCTGGGGGCAGCCGAAGTGACCACTCTCTCTTATAGGCTAAGACACGTCTTATGATTGTCCTGGAGCTTTATTCTCTTGACGCTGGAGCTGGAGTAGCCCTCATCACTGCCAAGGCTCTGCATGCTTCCCCGCTCATCAGAATCACTCACGCTGCTGCTGCTCCAGTCCAACTCACCCGTGAGATAGTCTGTGCTTTCAACATCCACATCGATTTCTTCTGTGGGAGGACAAAAGAGAGAGACTGTGGTGAAGGCATTCTTCAGAAAACTCAGGCTTAAAATCAAAGCGACTCCAGTCAAGCCCATCTTTGGACACTGGTGTCTAACTCCTAAAAGAAAAGAGGCAGTAGTTACTAAAGGCCACACTAAACTTTTCTAAATCAAAGCAGGTTCTTAGCTCCTTCTCTGTTCTGCCCCTGGCAGGTGGGAGAGAAAAAGGGTTGAGGTCGCAGGGAAAGGGCTCACCCCTGTCGGAGTCTGAGCGCTCTGAGGAGACGGGGGAGCCAATGCTGTCCATCCGTATCCTCTCAATGCCCAGTTTCTCCAGCTGCCTCTTCAGGTGCCGCTGCTCTCGCTGAAGCTGGTCTATTTGGTGAATGGCTTTTCTGTCACAATCTTCAAGTTTCTGCAAGTCAAAGGGGTAGTTGTTGGAGCTCACAGGCAGATTTCAAAATTAGTAATGACTCTGCATTTTTCCTCTAGCAGTGAAATCTGCCAATTTTCTCAGAAGCCATTTAGTGTGTCACTTGTCCAGCTTCTCACAAAGACAGGAAGTTGACTGGCTAGTGAGTGACTCCTGTCTTTACTAACAGCTTCAGCATCAACAGTGCTGTAGCTGTGCTGTCACAAGGATTCTAGGGGTAAGCTCCGACAGTCCAGCATCCTGGTACCCCTCAATTTTGATACTGAAAAGACTGCAGGCAGGAACCCCCAACCTGGTTCTCCCTTGTCTGCAGTGACACCCTGAACACCCCATCTCCAAACTAGAGCACTGCATGTGGTGGAGCTTAAGAAACAGACTTCCCCTTAAATGTGTGTTTATTCAAGTACATGTCCCCATCACAGAAGCACTTTCTTTGTGTCATGCCAAATCTCAATTAACTTCTGTTTGTTAGCAGGAAATAATAGTCCCTTTTGAAGTCCTGATTCCAATTGTCCAACATAAGAGCTTAGAAAATGCATTTCCATAGACCAGTTGTTTTTACAAATCTGTCCTCTAGCTTCTCATATTCTTTAGATAATTAAGAAAATTGTTTAATTGTGATTGTTTTGCTCTAAACAGAGATCCTTTCCCCTCCCAGAACTGTCATGCATGCAGGCTACTAACCATATTTAAAGTGGTATTTATCCAATCTTGACTATAAAAACAAGCTACACAGTGATCTGGGCTGTGGTTCTCAAAAGCCTGAATATAATTCACTCACCCTTTGCTATTTCAGCTACGTGTTAAAGTCACCTCTGTACCAGACCCTGTGGGAAGTACTAGGGACACAAGGTGAACACAAAGAACTGGGCCCCTCCCTATAGAGTCTACAGTCTCAGGATGGGGACAACCAAACAGTCACGTAAACCACCACTGGATACCAGCTGTGACAAGTGCTGAGAGAGAGAGATCCAGTATTGGACCACTTGGCACAAGAAGAAGGTAACCAGGTCAGGGAAGGTTTCTCTGCGCTAGTGATACCTGTGCTGTGACATGAAGGATGATAAGTTAACTGGGGAAAGAAAGGAGGGGAAAGCATGTACAAAGACCCTGTGGTCAAAGAACATGACAAATGTTAGGGACTGGAGGAAGGGCTGGGACAGAGAGGGTAGTGTAATGGCACTGGAGGCTGCTGCACAGGTATGGGCCAGGTCAGGCACAGCAGAGGCAGTTTGTGTCCTGACCACAAAAGAATTGTAAACATAGTGACGTGCTAACTTGAGCTCAGGGAGGACTGTTTTTGGGAAGCATGGAGATAAGCTCAGAGGGAGGCCTTGAGGGGTTTATCACAGCAGATGATGATGGGGTAAAAAGGGAATGAGACAAGGCTGTGAAATATTCCCTTGTCTCAGAAGGGAATGAGACAAGGCTGTCTTGGAGACAACTTAGATATGTGGCTAGAAGCAAGAGCTAACAAGGAGGACCCTGAGTTTCTGGCTTGTATAATCAGATGGCAGTTGGATGGACCACTTAACTTCTGGTGCCTGGGGTAAGAAATACTCAGATGAGTCTGGACATGTTGAGTTTGGGTCCTTGTGATTTCATCCGAGAGATGGAATGGAAGAGCTCACAGGAGAAGACTGTCCTGCACATACACATTTGCTGGCCTCAGAACAGACCAACCTCTACTAGACAGGTAAAGATAAAAAGGCATCTCAAGGACACACTTACCTTTATGTGCAATTTGGCTTTTGTTAATAAACTCAGTGTAGTGTGTCGATTTGATTCAGGCCCAAGTGGCACTAGCCCCTTCAACTTCTCCAGGCACAAGCGAAGATGGGCCCGTCTATAAAAACAAGACCACAGTAGCATTTGAGAATTTCATGGTGGGCCAGAAGTTACCCCTAAAGAACAAATTCTAAGAGTATGAAGTTGCCCAGGCCCACTGATGACAAATGCCCCCAGTGACCTCTTACCAAATATATAACTTTTAAAGCCAGACAATTCTAGTGAAAACTAGGGAGAAGCAAAATCCATGGTTTCTACAGTTAAATCTATTTTTAATATATGTGTCAGAATAGGAACTAATATCTGCTATTATTAGGTAATAACCAGGTTTCTGGATAATGATGTGACCCATAGAGAACATCCAAATTCAGAAAATAGTGACATGTCAGGGTGAGAATCCTTTGAGGCCATATTTCTCTGTTCCCAGTCAGGACCACTGAGTCACTATAACTATCATTGCTGTACACATGTGAATGACGTGTGTGTGGTTATTCATGACAGTTTTATTTGGAATAGCAAAGCCTGAAACAACCCAAAAGTCCATCAGTAGGGAACTGATTAAATAAATTATGGCACATCTATACAGTGGAGTACTATGCAGCTATGAAAAAAGAATAAGAATGTGCTCTATGTGCTATTAGGAAAGAACTCTCAGATGTATCAAGTAAAGAAAAGCAAACCGCACATAACATGGAGGAAAAATTACATGTTTTTTCTTGTATTGGACACAAAGTCCAGAATGATACATAAGAAACTAGTAACAGTTGCTGGGCAGGGAGAAGTCATCAAATAGACTGGGACGAGGAAAGGGGGGTAATTTGTTTACTGAATAATGTATTATACTTTTTGGTTTTTCAACCATGTAAACTACTGCTATTCAAAAATTAAATATATTTTTCAAAAATAATAAGAAAGTGCATCCTTGGTATTGCTGCACTCACAAGCATGCTGAGCAGCTGGAGATAACCAGGTGTATCTTGGAGAGTGGCGGAGGAGAGCCACGGGACAGAGTGTGAAAGGGAGAAAGGCTGCATGAAACAGAAGCCATGGTCAACACACTAAAGAGAAAGCAGAGCCTGCAGTCATAGACTGACTAGAAGTATAAAAGTTCATAAATTTTTGGAAGTCAATACTTCACTGAAATTTTGTTTTGGGATTTTTCTAAAACCTGTGAGATTCTGTGAATGTGAAAAATGGCCAAGATTCAGAGTTTTTTTCTTCACCTCACTACTTCCTTAAAGCCTTCACAGGCCATTCCAGCCCAAGGAAATTCCTTTAAGGAAAAAAAATTTTTTAAGAAAATTGGTGAGAGAGAGATATCAATTTGTTGTTCCACTTATTTATGCATTCATTGGCTGATTCTTGTATGGTTCCCTGACTGGGGATCAAACCTATAACCTTGGTGTATGGGGGACAATGCTCCAACCAACTGAGCTACCCAGGAAGTGATTCCATATTCTGAGTACTTATCTGTTCATATTATTCATTGGAAAGTTCAGTGTTCTGCCTGAATTTCTGGCAATGTCACTTAACCATTCACTGCAAACTCCTCAGAAAGTTGGGACTGTGGCTTAATCATTGATGTTTTGCCACAGTGCCTCCTCCTCCCACCTTCTTATTAATAAATGTTTGCTGAGTGGATTATGCCTCTAGTCAACTAGACTTGAAGCTTCTCTACTTCTCTACAGAGTCCATCTCTATACATCTTTGCACCTTCAGCAGTGCTCAGGATCCTGGGGTTTTAGACACATGGCCACTGCCCACACACGACCTGAGCAGAGACCTCCTAGGAACCTGGAAGGCTACCCTCAGCTGTACTTGAAGAAAACCTTAAAAATTAGTTTTTCCCCTCTTAAAAATTTTATTGTCTTAACAAAAGTTGGGAATGCAGACCAAAAGAAGAAAACTGCTTCAGAAAGCTCTACAGCAGGTCAGTGTGCATGGTACTGACTATGAAAATCAACTCACTCACACCTTTCAGCTCAAGACTTCAGATGCTCCTCCCCAAGCAGATCTAACAAGTAGTACATTAGATATCCTTTGAGCTTCTGCCTCATCTGCCTCTGAGCCCTCTTCCTCTGGATTTTGAAGGAGCTGTCCTAGATATTCCAAGGGCCCCCTAAGTCTTGACAAGCTTGAGAAGAACAACATTCATTTCTGAAGCAGGAAGATTTAATGGGACAAATGCCTTACTAAAATATAAGGCTTCTACTTGCTCTGAAAACCTATGCATGTGTCTTGGTCACAAGCAAAGACTCACATTAGGTATTTTTGTTCCTTCCATTACTGCATTGGTTGGGGGATGAGGGGTGGGTGGGGAAAATTAGAACCTATGTGTAAAATGTACTTGCTTACTGTGGATAATATTCTTCCAAAAGAGCTGTGAAAATTGATCATGTTACTAGAAATACCATTGGAAATTATAATCAGTCACTTATACAGTTACCCAACTTATTCCTTACTACTTAATACAAAGTTTACAGAATATTTGTTGAGTTAGGAAAAAAGCTCAAAAATTAAAATTTGGACATTTTTAGTCTGCTTGTTATTTGCAAAGACTGCATGATTCAGAACAGTGTCATAATTAGTCTTTTTATTATGTGGGTTTATCTACAGATATGAGTATGTAACTTTTTAAGGAAGTTTGTCTACTGATAAAAGTGTAATACAGTCATCTGTCCATGCATCGTCATTTCTAGTTACACAGGGAGCCTAGCCCAGAAAGTATGATTTTCACTACCCAAATGTGGGTTTCTGAGGAACACTCCCAGTTGTGAAACTAGAAATAAGCAATTTGACTAATTCGAGCTGAGGACAATACATGTTCATTCAGTGTTTTCTGGCCTTGTTTTATGAAAATAGGACCAAAATGCTCTCTGGATTTTGTAGAGATCCAGAGCCAGCTTGTGGCAGTGCCTGCCTTCGCCTTTTCCAGCACTTCACTCCTGCAGCCTGATGGCTGCCCTGCCCACCTGCCTGCAGACACAGCCCCAGTTGGTGCCTGGGCCATACACAGGACAGGAACGAAGTATGTGAAGCAAGCTCAGTTCCATCACATTGTAGTGAAATTAAATTCTTGAACCAGATAAAAAAGCAAACAGACATCTCTGTAACAGCTCCCACGAGGGATCCTCAACCCTGAGACACAAACACCGGCACACATACACACACAGACACAAGACACAGACACCCTCATACACTCATTCCACCCTGGGAACTGGACCCCTTGAGCCAGCACTGAGCTCCCATGGAGCTTCCAGATCCAAAGCAAACTGGACAAGCACCTGTCTCAGCTCTTCCTCCTCAGTCCTGACTAGTCTCCTGCCCAGACCTCTGGTCTTGTAGGAGGGGCCTACTGTCCCATTTTGAACCAGGTCTAACTTCTTTTTGGGGAACAGGCAGGAGTTTTGCCATGTATCCTCCATAGAAAGCCACTAGATACCTTGATCTGATGCCTCCTTACATCTCCTCCCATCATATCTTCTTCAGACAGGCCTCCTTCTGTCGCTAAGAGCTGCCTCCCAGCTCCCTCCCCCAGTAGAAGAGTTTTGTCAAATCCTGGCTCCCTCCTGTCCCTGACTGCCTCTTCTTATTGTAGTGATCCAAAGGTTTTGTCCCTAGGTCATGAACTTTGACCAACTTCACCTGCTGACTCTTCAGAAATATTGCTTTAATTATTCTGAATGGATTGATATACCTTTGGTTTGCAGTAGCATGAAAAAACCCATCTTTGATCTGAGTTATAATTAGTAACACTCAAAGTGTGGCCTATAACTTAATTAGATATAAACTAACTTTTCTTCAATAATTTTTTAGTATCTAAAATTTTATTTATTTTTAATTATTTTAAATTCTGAATCTGTCAATCTCTACATAACCAAATGTTAGTATAGTGATTAAGAATAAAGATGTGGGACCCTTAATCCCTGTGTGACCTAGAGCAAATTTCTTTACTCCATGTAGCATCCATTTCCTTAGCAGTAGGAAGAGGACAGCAATGCCCACCTGAGAGGGCTGTTGTATTAACTGAGACAAGGTAGGGATGCCCCTCGGACAGAGTCTGACATGGGGTGCTCCAAATATAGTAGCAGTTATTCTTTCAATCCGTGCTTCCTGTGTAGAAGGATAATTACTGGGAGCAAATACAGATTATCATAGCACCATAATATTCCTTTTAAAATTGGTAGGGAACTCCCAAGTGTCTCACTAGGTAAATAGAAGCTATCTGGTAAAATCCAATCACTAAACTCTTCCTTAAAATAGACATCTTTTGTCATTAAAAGATTTCATGGAAGTTCTAATCCATTTTCTATGGAAACCAGGTCTTGCTTATGCTAAAGGTACCTTTTTATTTTTACAATGAAAAATCAAGAAGGAGGAGTTTGTAAAGCTATTGTATGCAAAAGGAAAGACTCCTTCATGGGCACCCACATCATGTAGAGGCAGGGGAAGGAGGGACATTGGCACTGGGCAGGAAGCATCCAAAATGTGGGCCTCCCTCTTACATCTCTACTGTGATGGCCAAAGGAAACAAAAATAGGGGCAAAAAGTCTTGATCTTGGAAATCCAGGCACATCTCTAGATGTGTATCCATATCCAGAGACCCTAAAATATCTCATGTACAATAGTAAGAAGAAAGGATAGTATATTTAAGAACAAACTTAGCCCTGGCTGGTGTAGCTCAGTGGATTGAGCGCAGGCCTGCGAACCACATGATCTCAGTTCAATTCCCAGTCAGGGCACATACCTGGGTTGCAGGCCAGTTCCCAGCAGGGGACGCATGAGAGGCAACCATACATTGATACTTCTCTCCCTCTCTCCTTCCCTTCCCCTCTAAAGATAAATAAATAAAATTTAAGGGAAAAAAAAAACCAAACTGAAAACAGTTTGGGAAGGATCCTTGGGAAGAACACTGTAAAACTTTGCTGAGACACATAGAAAATTTGAATAAATAGAAAAAATAGCACATTCCTAGATATGAATCCTCAAAGTAAAAATGTCAGTCTTACCAAGTCTGTACAAATTTAACATAACTCCAAAAAATGCCAACAGTGCTCT